ATTTTATTTTTTGAAAGGGGCGGGGCCCCCAATAGGGGGGTGTCCTCTGAACCTGCGGTAAGAAGGGGTGTTGTTGGAGAGGAAGTATTATGAAGTTGTATTTGTAAAGAACGAAAAACCACCTAAACGTCTTTTGAAAAAATTAAAATAAAGTACTAGTTCAAGAAAAAAAAAAAAGCAGGACAAAATATATTCTTAAGGTAAACAATAGGAGCACACTAGCCACGCATTGGTGGTTCAGTGGTAGAATTCTCGCCTGCCACGCGGGAGGCCCGGGTTCGATTCCCGGCCAATGCATCTGTATTTTCTTTATTTGTTTTGAAAATTCCTCCAACCACGTTGAAATGCTCCAGTTCAGAGGGCGGGTGCGTTCCACACTCGAACTTTGGGCTTTTCCCACATTCTGACTACATGGCTGCAGTCCTTCCTGCTAGGCTAGGGGCAGGCTGGCGCCGGGCTGTTTTCTAACAGAAACATCGAGTTTTTTGCGTTCAGAATATTTGGACTCAATATATTGTGAAATGCTTGTCCTGTTCGAAGTACGAGTGAAATGAACAAATGGCTTTTCAAAAAAATCACTTTCTGATGTACAAAAACAACTTTTACTGTTGAAGGTATAAGGACTTAAAATTGACACAAATCACCACAGCCAGCAGAGTGGCGCAGCGGAAGCGTGCTGGGCCCATAACCCAGAGGTCGATGGATCGAAACCATCCTCTGCTAGGTGACTTCACTTTTTTCCTTTTTCACCCCCAAATCTGGGAAACATTTGGAAGTGTACGCGCGCGCGTGTATCTTGTCCCTACTGGGGTGTCTGTACCTAACGGAATCTTGCACAACTGTAGGGGATATATTCTGTCTAGAAAAATTTTGACATACAAAAAGTTACAAACCTGGTGGGTTCTAATCAAGAAATGGCATATTCACGCTGAGAGTGGAGAATATTAATCCATCAGCTGGAAGTTGTCCATCTCTACTTACCACCATATTGTAAACAAGAATGTAAGTTGAGAATTGGAAAGGACCGTATATACCTATTGTCAGGTTCAGAGCTTCAGTTAAGGAGAGTTGGGAGTGCTTAAAATAATAATTCTCCCCAAAATCCGAACAGGTTGCTGTTTTTCTCTTTAGCACTTTCCATTGTGTGGTATATTATATATTTTATTTATTTGTTTAGTGTTTTCTTCCTGTGGATTGACAAGAAAAGAGTTTTTTGGCTGTTTTCCCACTGTGCTTGCTGTAGTACCTAGAAAGAGGCCTGGAACATCTCAGTCACTGGTGATTTGGTAAATACTGTGTTAAAAGCCAAATTTTTAACACAGCAAACACCAGTATTTGACATTAGTCTTCAACTTTCTCTTTTACCTTTTAAAAAAATCACAAATGAGTACAAAAATGACAACACAGAATGGATCTACTATTTAATATTAGGGCATATTAATTACAAATCTCCTTTATATTTAAAAAAAAAGACCCACATAAAATCAAAGTATTTTTTAATACATCCTCAATCCTAATATCCCCCTTGTGAGGGCAACTCTATCATGAATTTGATATGTGTCTCTCCTATTTCTTTTTTCTTTTTTTAATGAATAATTTTTATTTGCAAAGAGTAATTTTTATTTACATAGTATGTAAAATAAGCACACTACGATGCTTATTTTTAAAAAGCATTCACTGTATGAATATCCACACAAAAAGCTTTCTGCCATAATAGCCTTGGTATTATTATACCTCATTCTCTGGGCTTATCTGTGTCCAAACATACGAGCATAACCAATATCTAGAATGGGCAGCTGAAGGGCTATATTTGATTTTCACTTGGTTTCAAAATGAAGGCAACATCTTTATCCACTTGGCAGGAGAGGTTTTAGAAATCCTGTCGTTAAAGTTATTTCATTGACTGTAATTTTTTCAACATGAAATCCCTGTCACAGTAAAGAACCACATTTCTCAGTTTAGGTGCTTGGTGAGGTCTCATTCCAGCGTCACTCTGGCCTACATATGCGTCCCATACAAATACAATTTCCATCTGAGATGAATTTTAAAACACTATTCTAAGTAACAAGCCTTCTAATCTCACAAATCATCAGAGGCACATGTGATTCTCTGAAAAAAAAAAAATTTCTAACAAAGGTAAAACACTACTCGTTGTTTTCTCCTGGGTTCTATTTCAGGATATTCAGGTTTTTGTTTTTTTTTTTTTCCTAGGAGATTATCACCATAGACTGAGCATCTCCTCACAGGGGTAAAGTCAATTTACCTCCTAATCTTTTACAAGGCACTCATTTTTCTCTCTATGTGAAGTCTCTTATTAACACACATAAAAATAAAAAGAGAATTGCTATATCGAGGCCGTCATTTTGAAAAGAACCAGAGACTGACGCTTCAAAGCACTCTGTTGGTACAGTAAAACAGCCTCCTCCCCTTATCTGTGGTTTCACTTTTTGAGGTTTTGGTTACCTGTGGACAAACAGGTTTCGAAAATATTAAATAAAAATTCCAGAAATAAATAATTCAATAAACCGCTCACAATTTCTAAACTGCGAGCTGTTCTAAGTAGCGTGATGAAATCTCTCACTATCCTGCTCAGTCCTGGTGGGGCGGTGAATCATCCCTTTGTCCAATGTATCCAGGCCTGATGCTCTTTGCCTGTTAGTCTCTTGTAGCCATCTGGGTTAATGAAATCACGGTGCTTGTGTTCAAGTGACCCTTATTTTACTTAATAATTGCCCCAAATCACAAGAGTAGAGATGCTGGCAATTCAGGTATGCCAAAGAGAAGCCGAAAAATGCTTCCTTAAGTGAAAATATGTAAGTTCTTGTCTTCATAAGGAAAGAAAAAATTGTGTGCTGAAGTTGCTAAGATCTACAGTAAGAATAAATTCCTGCCTGTGAAATTGTGAAGAAGGAAAGAGAAATCTGTGCTACTTTGCTCTTACACCTCAAATTGCAAAACGCTCGGCCACAGTGTGTGATAAGTGCCTAGTTAAGAAGAAAAAGGCATTAATTTGCAGGGGGAGGCATGAACAGAAAATGTGCTCTGATTGGCCACAATGTCTTACACCAGAAACCACTGGGCCTCTGGGGAGACTTCAGCAAAGGATCTCTGAAAAAAACTGACTTCTTTCACATAACTATAATTGTTCTATTTCATTATTATTGTTATTAATCTGTTACTGTGCCTGACTGGTGAATTAAACCTCACCACATGTGTGTATAGGAAAAATGGTACATAGAGGGTTCAGTACTACCTATGGTTTCAGGCATCCACTGGAAGTCTTGGAACGTGTCTCTCTGAAATAAGAGGGACTTGCATTGTTTTTTCTAAGACTGAAACAAAGCTTTGTTATATGTAACATTGTTAGCAATAGCTTCAAGTGACCCACAGGAAGTTATTCTTAGACACAGATTATTTCTGTGGGATGGGGTACCGGGTTCACTTTTAGTTGCCCAAAGGCTGGGAATACAAGACAATGTGGTGAATGACACAGAACGGGGTGGCAGTGGCAGCCAGAATTCCTCAAACATGAGTCTCTCCAATCACAGTCTTCACTTTATAGCTTTGGATGCTCACTATAGAGATTTCCAAACTTCAGAATTTCCCCCAAGAGGACTAGAAACTCCTTGTGTGGGGCAATATTCCTCTAACAGAAAGCTGAGGGTCTACTGATGAGGTTGGGAGGAGGAAAACAGGGCTGAGACCAGCCTACCTGTCCCCCACCTCCCTTCCTACACTCCTCAGCAGAAACCATTGCATTTTATTAATATCTGTGTCCCATGGTGGGCAAGAGTATGCCAGCCACTGTAAGGAGAAGGTATCTTCAGAAAGTCCAAGTAGGCAAATCCATAGAATGTAACAGAATTTATTATAGGTAATTTACTTAGGGGAAGATTGGGCCAGCATGGGCAGACGCCCAGCAATTCGGCACAAAAATATTTTCATTGTCTATACGTTCTTAAAGTACCTTTTTAAATAAGTAGGACACTGATGACGGACAAGACAAAGGGACAAAGAATGTAGTGGTGCTGGGGCCATACTCCAGGCGCTTCTCCACCAGTATGATATTTATCTATTTTCAAAACATTCTATTGACAAAAATATATATATTTATGGCTATATTTTAAGGAACACAGAGGACCATCAACTAGAAAGCTTTGATATGCTTGCTAAGGACAGAAGTCACAGCATGAAACTTAAAAATGAAATGAAATCCGGGACACAGAGATGGTGTTGGTTTTGTTCACACCTACATCTATACAAAGGGGTTAAATGGGTGGTGGAGGGTTTATGCAAGAAAGAAGATTGGGCAGCCCTGGAAGATGCTGGGAAGTTAAAGGAGTTTCCTCCGGGCCTTCGGTCTACACTCGGATTCCTGGCTACCAGACTAGGCGTTCAACCCACTTCCTACCTCTGGGGTCCGCTTCTTTTATACACGGCGTTCTGACTTCTACGGCAGAATTTCTCATCGCAGACTCTCAAATCCCAGTTGGAGCGCTGCTCACCGAGTCCGGCATCCCTGCCTCCCACCTGCTCATCCAGATGAAACAGGAAGGCGGTAGCTCTCCAGATTGCTGGGTTCTTTGGTCAACATTTTAGGTTTGGGGAGCCCCGTAACTGTCAAGGTCAGTATACGGCTCTGGCCGCGGACACCGGTGATGACCGCACACAGCGCAGGGGCCACCATTTACCTTCCAGCGTACCTAGGGAAAGCGCACGGGATGAGTCATCTGGCAAATTGGAGCCTGTGGCGGGCTTTTCCAATAGTGACGCTGCCCCATTAGAAACGGGGCTGTTACTGGCCCTGACTGGACAAACAACAGCGAAATCTGTTGTGGCAGAAGGCGAAAGGCAGTCTCTTTCAAAAGACCTTAAAAAACCCGTAATGAATTAGTATACAGGGCGCCCAGTGCTTACCCCCAAATGCCTACAGAGGTTTTTTGTTTGTTTGTTTTTGTTTTTTTTAACATCTGGTCCTTATCTCCAGGTATTTTCCTTTCCAAACCCAGACCACGACACCGCTAAGAAAAAAAAAGGAAACTGCAGGAAAAGTGAACCAGCTGTTCCTGTGAAAGTGGGTGGCTCTGAAAAGAGCCTTTGGGCGTGAACGAGCCGGATCCACCTCTCCGAGGGGCTCACTTGGCGCTGGTGTACTTGGTGACGGCCTTGGTGCCCTCGGACACGGCGTGCTTGGCCAGCTCCCCGGGCAGCAGCAGGCGCACGGCCGTCTGGATCTCCCGCGACGTGATGGTCGAGCGCTTGTTGTAGTGCGCCAGGCGCGACGCCTCGCCCGCGATGCGCTCGAAGATGTCGTTCACGAAGGAGTTCATGATGCCCATGGCCTTGGACGAGATGCCCGTGTCGGGGTGCACCTGCTTGAGCACCTTGTACACGTACACCGAATAGCTCTCCTTGCGGCTGCGCTTGCGCTTCTTGCCGTCCTTCTTCTGCGCCTTGGCCACGGCCTTCTTGGAGCCCTTCTTCGGGGCGGGCGCGGACTTGGCCGGCTCGGGCATGGCGGGGAGGAGCCGCCGAAGAAGCTGAGGAAAAAGGAGCGTGAGCCTGCGAGTGTCCTCTCGGTGCCCAGCCTCTTCAGGAAGCCGTGAGCAAAGTCGCGTCTGACTGGCGGTAGCTCCAGAAACGTCACGTGGATATTGTCCAGTCAAGATACGCGTATTTCAGGACGAGGCTCCCATTGGTTGAGTGAACCGGGCTGTAACTTCTCGCCAATGGCACAGGCTCCCTTTCGCGCCCAGGAGCGACCATAAATAGGGTGGCTTCGGGCGCCTCAGCACACACTCAAGTTAGAGCGGAAGGGTCCTGCCTGTCATGTCTGGACGCGGGAAGCAGGGCGGCAAGGCGCGCGCCAAGGCCAAGACGCGCTCGTCGCGGGCCGGGCTGCAGTTCCCCGTGGGCCGCGTGCACCGCCTGCTGCGCAAGGGCAACTACGCCGAGCGGGTCGGCGCCGGCGCGCCCGTGTACCTGGCGGCCGTGCTGGAGTACCTGACGGCCGAGATCCTGGAGCTGGCGGGCAACGCGGCGCGCGACAACAAGAAGACGCGCATCATCCCGCGCCACCTGCAGCTGGCCATCCGCAACGACGAGGAGCTCAACAAGCTGCTGGGCAAGGTGACCATCGCGCAGGGCGGCGTGCTGCCCAACATCCAGGCCGTGCTGCTGCCCAAGAAGACCGAGAGCCACCACAAGGCCAAGGGCAAGTGAACTGGAAGACCAGACTATGTCTGTCTTAACCAAACCAAAGGCTCTTTTCAGAGCCACCCATATTTTTCTAAAAGGGCTTGCCTGTTCCCTATTTTAGCAGCTACTTGAAAATAATCTTTATCTCAATAACTCAATCAATAGGTGTCACTGAACAGTCCCAAAAGCGCTAAAGTGACTCCCAATAAAAAGTTTGTATAAGGTAAAAAAAAAAAGGCCAAACCCACTGTGGATTATTTACGTAGGTAACTTAAGGCTATCCTGCAGACCCTGAGGGTTGAACCAAGAGAAACATGAAAGGAAGAATAGTACTTGGTGAGAGATAAATAAGTGCAAGTCTGGTTAGTGCAAGGGTAATAAAATGACATTTTAGTTCCATGTTTAAGAGCTGTTTTGCATAATGCGACACTTTGCCTGCAGATCGACCAATTACATCCTTGCTGGGCCCTAGTGAGTTGTAAATAGGAAAGCTTCAAGCCCTCGAGTCATATCCTCCAGGCAGAACTCATTCAAGGGTCCTACATGGCTTTAAAAAGGTACACAGTATTTTTTGTACCAATTACATGTTTGGGGATTTTTTCCTTAACCCCATTTTACACAAACCTCAGTTGAAATTGTAAAACGGAGTAGAATTATATTAGAATGCTAGCTAGTGAAAATGTAACCATTGTTCAATTGAGTCAGATATAGAGAAAAAGCATATAAACACTGTAAAAGTCTGTAAGTTTAAGTAGAGAAATCAAGATTTCAACGTGAAATTAGCCTTCTTAAACTTGAATGGGGCTAAAAAAATTCCCTCAGCCAATCGCATGAAGCGCGCGCCTTTTCAAAAAGATCAAAGGAAAACCAGTTTCAAGTTCCAAAATTAAAATGTTTTATTTAGCAACAAGATATATCATTGTAATATTTATATGAAATTCTGCGGAGAAAGGCCAAAGAAAGCTGTAAAAGAGAAAGCGTAAAGACGGTACAGGGAGGAAAGGGTAGAAAACAGTCCCTGTTGAAAGGGTGGGTGGGAGGAAGAAGTTAGTTTCCGGTCTGAACGTCCCATCAGGATCAGACTCATATTGTTGTTTCAGGTCAGTATTTTTTTCTGGAATGGCTCGGACCAAGCAGACAGCGCGCAAGTCCACCGGCGGGAAGGCCCCGCGCAAGCAGCTGGCCACCAAGGCCGCCCGCAAGAGCGCACCGGCCACCGGCGGCGTCAAGAAGCCGCACCGCTACCGGCCCGGCACCGTGGCCCTGCGCGAGATCCGCCGCTACCAGAAGTCCACCGAGCTGCTGATCCGCAAGCTGCCCTTCCAGCGCCTGGTGCGCGAGATCGCGCAGGACTTCAAGACCGACCTGCGCTTCCAGAGCTCGGCCGTCATGGCGCTGCAGGAGGCGTGCGAGGCCTACCTGGTGGGCCTGTTCGAGGACACCAACCTGTGCGCCATCCACGCCAAGCGCGTCACCATCATGCCCAAGGACATCCAGCTTGCGCGCCGCATCCGCGGGGAGAGGGCATAAGCTTAACGCAAGTGGTAGTCTTGAACTCAAAGGCTCTTTTCAGAGCCGCTTAACTCTCACCAATAGTGGCTGTTGCACTATTGCGTTAGCTGTTAGTAGCTTCAAGTTAGGCGCAGGACTAACAAACGGGACTCGGGGTTCCTACCAAGATAGTGGTCTCATTTTCCTCAAGCGAAGTAGATTAAAGTGTTAGTAAAGTCGGACATGCAGTGTAATAGGTACGTGTTGCTAATCACCACTTGGCAAGAACAATTTCTTGGGTATAAAGTCACTACCTGAATCCTGCAAGAAAGTCCCATGTAAGAAGCAGGAAGGAGGGATCAGGCCACAGGGAAGAACTAACCACCCTGTAGACATGGAGTTAAGCTCATGGATAACCAGAACCTCCCTCCCCATTTTGAGTATTACTCTGGTAGCAGAGTTGGACCTAACTTAATCCTCTGATGTCCTCACTGCATAGGGAAGGGCAACTTGAACGTGGACTAATTTGAATGAACTCCAGGTTTCGGGGAAGAGCACATGTAGGTTTAAATTGGACAGTATTGGTATTGTGCCTAGCATCTAGCATTAGTGGGCAGACCTCAGATTTTGTTACTGACAATTGCTCTTTCACGACTCCGTAAGACAAAACAAAAACCGACTTTGGCTGAAACTGTTTCTTGAGAAAATGGGTTAGTGTTTACACGGATCTTTTTTCTTATGAGAGTTGTGTTATTCATTGTTTACCAGTAGCACCTGGTAACCCTATAGGATAAAGCTCCAAAATGTTTCCTTCACACCCATTCCAAATTTGATATAAAATTAGCAAATGAGCACTCTGGCTTGTCTTTTCCAGTTTCCAGCGTCCTGGAAGTGCAGGCCTGTGTGAGCAGTAGTTCCCAGGCTGGATAGGACTCTCCCTGTAACTGCTACGTGTGGTTTTCTAAATACCTCAAATTATGTTCAACTGGGTCCTAATGTTCTAGATTCTCCAGTTGGGGTTGGGTCTGGCAGTTCCTTACAAGTGTTTTTCATTAGTTTCCTTGACAGGCTAGCACCTCATTTTACACTTCCTGTCAACTTGTGTACAGTGGGTGTACATTACCCTTCCTAAAACAGAAAATGGAAACAATACTCACCTAAGCATTCAAGACCTTTCTTGACAAATTGGTTTGTGTACACTGTGTCATCACAAGTTTGTGAAAGAAATGGAAAGGTGTTTACATTCTTAATACTTTTTAAAAAATTATATAAGATCACTACTGCAAACATCATGCTCTGCTCACGATCATGTGCATCACCTTCTGGTTCATGGGAAGAAGCACCCATGATTATCATATACAGAATTTAAGTTGATGACACTATTTTACCAAATTTAAATCTTTTCATTTGAATCAACACCTTTAGCACAATAAAGTGCTGATTATCTTCTCTCAGGAACCAGCTTTCCTCTGGGAAGACAGAAAACATTTGGAGGGGATAATGGCCCTTTGACGCCACCCTCCCACTCTGCCTGATGATCCAGTAATTTCTAAACAAACTGACATTCCTGAGTGTGTAAGCAATGCCTTCTGAGTTGGGAAACTAAGCTGTTAATTAGTCAGGAAGGGCCCACGGCAGATGACCTATCTACATGACCCATACTCATCCTGGGAAGGGCACCATCTCCTGGAAATGGGCAGTAACAAGTTAATCTTTCAGTTTGCATTACATAAAAATTTTATTCAGAGACAGTGAGTAATTCTAGTTATGGGGACCTTTCTAATTATGTGGATACACCCCTTGTGCTGAAAAACAATGGTCTGATGGCCTTTCACCTAAGCTCCTTCTAGACTTTAATCATACTTTCATCACCCTATACAAGGAACTGAGTTTCATTCTAGGAATGGCAGTCACGGAGTGATATTCAGCAACACCAGGCCCTTTGGATCATGATAATGGGCAGATGGCGAGCCAGGTACTAATTTTAAGATAAGAGATCATGGGGGAAGTTGTGAGAACGATCAGTCTGGAATGTTCATTTTGAGTTTCCTGGGGATCTCCAAGAGTTCCAGAAAGTTTTAGATGAATGTGCACATCTGATTTCAGAAGATAAGTCTGGGTGGGCATAAAGATTTGGGAGTCACTGTACTCACTTCAGCAGCACACATACTAAACTGGAATGATACGGAGATTAGCATTGCCCCTAGACAAGATGGTATGCAAATTTGTAACATGTTCTGTGTTTTGTTGAGAGTCTTATGCTGAGTGAAATAAGCCAGTGAGAGAAAGACAAATGCCATATGATTTTACTTATGTGTGGAATCTAATGAACAAAATAAATTCACAAAATAGAACTAGAGTCAGATACAGAGAACAGACTGACAGCTGTCTGAGGGGAGAGGGGGAGCTGAATGAAAAATGTGAAGGGATTAAAATTAAAAAAAATTGGTGTCATTAGTATATACAAATATTTAAGGCAAAGGAGTGGCCCACATATCCCTTCCAGCTCCTTCCTACCTCTTTTAACCTCTGCCTCCGTGCTAATATCCAACTTCTTGAACTTGCTGTATATACCACAAACTGTCTGGTGATGGGATTCCTATAATTTCCTGCAATTCTCAGTTCCTTTTAACCCTCAGACTAGATGTTGTCTCTCAAAGATCTGATTTCTCCTCTATGCTCCCCTAACATCCTGTGTCTACGTTTCTTGCTACATAGTGCTGTATCTACTTTTGTTACTCCCTGTTACATTGTTTCTTTAGAATAACAAGTGTCTTACTAACGTATTCCTAACACTTGGTACCTAAGTGTGAAACAAATATTTGTCGAAAGCATAAATACACTATAAAAAAAGAGAAAACAGGAAAATCATTGTGCCTGCATGCTTCATGTGTTACGACCATTCAAGGCCAGGCAAGTTCACAGTATTCCTGCAGATGGAAAAATATTCACGGAGCTGTTGGGATATCTGGCAATCACGGGTGGCTGAGCCACGCAAGCTACAAGCCTCCCTGCATGACACACACCACGGCCCTTGCTCCCCAGTGTGGCACCCTTTGTGGCACCTGTGCCCTTGTGTGTCACTAGTGGGAAGCCCCTACTGCTTTAAGTACTAGAGGTGAACAAAGCCGGCAAAATGCCAGAAAATTAGTTAACGTAATTCTGCCTATGCAAGCCCACTTCATGTTATGGGAACAGTTTATCAGGTCCAGTCTCAAGGTTATGAGAACATTAGTTATCAGGCCCCTCCAAGGCGATGGGAACACTGCAAACCTTAGTTACCCAGACACCTGGGTGAGGAAGCCAGATTGCCCCCATTTACCCTACACTTGACATGGCAAAAATGGGGAGTGGCATAAACCCAAGGCCCAGAATAAAAAGACCTTTTTATGCCAATTTAAAAGTGAGAAACATACCAGAATCTCTGTCTCTATTGCCAAAACAGCCTCAGGTTTAATCAAGTTTGTTTACATTTTTCAACATACAGATATCTATTATCAGTGTTCTTGGAATTCACTTAGGAGAAACTAGTATGATCATGGTTACAACACGTGGACATCTAGGTATACCAGTATGGTAATAAATGTACTGTCTGGTAGTATGAATTAGTCAAGTGCTGGCAGAAACACCCGAAATATTAACTTGCGACCTTCCTGCTGACAGTGGGTTTTCTGTAGAAATCACCATTACGTCCTCTCAAGAGATGTTTGGGGTTGATGTAACTTGTCACTTAAGTTACAGCTGATTTCCAGATAGACCTGGGTGACTATTTTGAGTCAAAATAGCTTCTAGGTTCAACATGAGCTTGAAGTTATAGCCTATTTAGAATACCAGTATAATATAGGTTATTCAACAGAAGTCCCTAAATGCCACTTCTGAAATGAGAACCCCCCCCCAAAAAAGAAAGCCTCAGTAAGAACTACTAGTCTTGTCATAAATTTTAGCAACTAAGTAAAAGTGATCAGAGGTGCAATAAAGTCGTGCTCCCTTTTCAGTGACTAGAGAAGTGGCTCTGAAAAGAGCCTTTTGTTTGCTCGTTCCCACACTTGCTGCTTACTTCGCCTTGTGGTGGCTCTCGGTCTTCTTGGGCAGCAGCACGGCCTGGATGTTGGGCAGCACGCCGCCCTGCGCGATGGTCACCTTGCCCAGCAGCTTGTTGAGCTCCTCGTCGTTGCGGATGGCCAGCTGCAGGTGGCGCGGGATGATGCGCGTCTTCTTGTTGTCGCGCGCCGCGTTGCCCGCCAGCTCCAGGATCTCGGCCGTCAGGTACTCCAGCACGGCCGCCAGGTACACGGGCGCGCCGGCGCCGACCCGCTCAGCGTAGTTGCCCTTGCGCAGCAGGCGGTGCACGCGGCCCACGGGGAACTGCAGCCCGGCCCGCGACGAGCGCGTCTTGGCCTTGGCGCGCGCCTTGCCCCCCTGCTTCCCGCGTCCAGACATGACAGGCAGGACCCTTCCGCTCTAACTTGAGTGCGTGCTGAGGCGCCCGAAGCCACCCTATTTATGGTCGCTCCTGGGCGCGAAAGGGAGCCTGTGCCATTGGCGAGAAGTTACAGCCCGGTTCACTCAACCAATGGGAGCCTCGTCCTGAAATACGCGTATCTTGACTGGACAATATCCACGTGACGTTTCTGGAGCTACCGCCAGTCAGACGCGACTTTGCTCACGGCTTCCTGAAGAGGCTGGGCACCGAGAGGACACTCGCAGGCTCACGCTCCTTTTTCCTCAGCTTCTTCGGCGGCTCCTCCCCGCCATGCCCGAGCCGGCCAAGTCCGCGCCCGCCCCGAAGAAGGGCTCCAAGAAGGCCGTGACCAAGGCCCAGAAGAAGGACGGCAAGAAGCGCAAGCGCAGCCGCAAGGAGAGCTACTCGGTGTACGTGTACAAGGTGCTCAAGCAGGTGCACCCCGACACGGGCATCTCGTCCAAAGCCATGGGCATCATGAACTCCTTCGTGAACGACATCTTCGAGCGCATCGCGGGCGAGGCGTCGCGCCTGGCGCACTACAACAAGCGCTCGACCATCACGTCGCGGGAGATCCAGACGGCCGTGCGCCTGCTGCTGCCCGGGGAGCTGGCCAAGCACGCCGTGTCCGAGGGCACCAAGGCCGTCACCAAGTACACCAGCGCCAAGTAGACGCGGGGAAGCCGCTTGACCCCAACCCCAAAGGCTCTTTTCAGAGCCTTGCAGATTTCTGAGAGAACTGGCACTCAATCTTGCATAAGAGGTAGGGAAGAAAGTTTTTAATCTAAGCTCTTTGGAAAATGCTTCATAATTTGGGCAAAAGCCCTATTTAGCAATATGTGGTAAAGGATGCTATCAATTCTTTAGGAAATTGTCAGCCGTAAAACACTGGAGTTTAATTTTTTTTAAGATGATTCCACTTAACATTCACGCTCCAATTACTGAAAGTCCTCCTTTGAGGAAATTTGTTAACTAGAAAATTTCAGGTGTTCTTGAACTCCTAGTGCGAGTCTTTGGCTGAATGACAACTTCCTCTACAGGTTACACCGCCGTTTTCACGCCCCACCCCGTGCTCTCTGGTGATCACGTAAATGGAATTAAGGGACACTCCCCAGTTACCGTTTTCTTTTGCTTATTCTTTTGTAACATGTGGTGGTATGCGCCTTACTCTAGGCCTACATTCGCACAAAATAACCTAGTGGTGTTGGGATAAAGTTGGAGAAAGAGTTCAAAAAGTAACTAATCACCTCTTTTCACCAGTTAGGGATGAGCAGTTTTAATTTCTCTTCTGGTGCTTTCTGTACAGGTGCGGGTACCTGGGCGAGGACTCCACAATCCCTCAGCCCACCCCATCTCCGTCCTGGTGAAGCAACGCGGAGGAGCGCTTTAATCCTGCTTCAGGACCTTCACTCGTTTTAAGGTGTTACCTCTTTCCAGGATGGGGTTCCAGTTCTCTGCAATTTGAACACTGTCCACGTTTTGGGGGGAGAAAATTTAGAATGTAGGTCAGCTCCACACTTCATCTCACTCTTAATCCCTTTCCCCTTCTCGAATAAGGGAGAAACTCTCAATGAAAAGGCAGCTTTTTGATTTAAGAAGGAGAGGCAGGAAGGCGTTTCCTCCCAGGCGGAAGCGCAGTCTCCCGGTGTGCAGGCTGGCGTTCCAGAGCCGAGTCTACTTGTTCAGGGATCGATGCAGAAATACAAGTCCCTAGCATCGACAGACCATCAGGTAAGGTTTTAAATCAATGCCCTGGCTGTATTTCTCGCTATTGCTCAGTCTTTTCCCATGAAAGACAGGAGGCCTCAGGCTTGTGGGAACAAAAGGCACACGATTTGGGCTGGATTTATGAGCTCAGGGAGCAAAAGACAGTTCTGCAAAGGCCGTGACTGTTCCCTCTGGCCCAGAGGAGGTGGCTGGGAACACGCAGAATATTTATAGGACTTAATATTAGTCCATTTCTTTTTTTTACGTATGTCAACACTGCTTCTAAGGTTGCCACTGTTGTGATGCCGCACAATGGTGTGATTATTTCCTAAAACTTACCTTATGGCTGTTCTCCACTGTCCATACAATGTAATAAAGAAATGGCTTCTCTCACTTGATCAGCTTTATGCCCCCAGTTTCTCACGCTCGCATCCAGTGATTCTTAGATTTAATCGTGCATCAGAATTGCTGATGAAATTTTGAAAAAAATATCAATACCTACCCAACCCCAGAGATTCTGATTTAATTGATCAGAGGAGCACTTGGGCATCAAGGATATTTGAAATCCCCCAGATGGTGTGGCTGGGAGGGTTGACCTGTGGGAAGCAGCCTCTAAAGCAGGCAGTAACACACTTTGTGCAAACTGCTCCTTTGCAGAGCCTTTCCTACACATGTGGCAGAAGGTAGGACACTTCCAAGGTCAGATGAGAGACTTCCATAAGCCAGCCCTTGGCATGAGTGATCCTTCAGACACTCACACAGGGAGGAACTGAGGCCTCCAGCCCATAACATTAGAAGGGAGCCTCTTCTTAGACCTTGGAAGCTCCAGTGCCAGTCAAGCCTTTAGATGATCCGAGTCCTTGACTGCAACCACCCAGGGCCACCCAGCCAAGCTGCGTGCACATTACTGACCCTCCGAAACTCCGTGAGGTAATGAATGTTTGCTGTCTTAAACTGCTAAATTTTGGAGCACTGTGTCACATATTTTGTTAATAATATACCAATTAAAATCTTTTCCTTTAAGCTCGATCCTTGTTATACCTCTTTCAAGAAACTTTCCCAGATTGTCACATTGCAGATTCATATTCACTCCAAGTTGCTACAGCAGTTAATATTAAATTAATATCACATTAATGATATTTGACATTAATTATATATAATACATATTTAGATATTTTAATATTTAATTATATACACATGTAATAGGTATAGATATATCATTTATATAGAAACATAACAAAAATATTCACCTATTTTATGAGGTTGCATATATCTTATTCAGTATTGCTCAAACTTGTCATTTTACTTCCACATACACAATTGGTTTCTTTTTGCTGTATCTGTATACAATCTAAATTGTTATTTACTTAATTTTTTTCTTTAGAAAATAATATTTTAAAAGACAACTTTATATCACTACCCTAGTGAAAATTTCTACCTCTGACCATGGACAGAAAGTAACTATGGAACAATGTTTTTTAAAAACATTATTCAGTTCCAGTTAAATACTATTTACTGCCTCTTGCCTTGAGCTTGAGACCTGTTCTCTGTTATAAATTTAAAGGGACAGGGTGGGTGTCAGTGGAGATTCCATGGCCTGCAGGTATCTAATTGGCAGTTTACCAGTTGCTGAAACAGAACGATTTAAGGGTGCAGAAACAAAGTGACATCTTCGCTTTCTATTTAAACATTTTAAACACCAGAGTTTACATACTATTTACCATAATTTTCTGGGATCTCCATGGTACTAGGTACAAGTCCAGGAAATGGTGGGTTTAATTAATGTATTATTTTACTGAGCCACTGTGCTATATCTGTCAGAAAATATAAGTCTATATAACTCAAGAAGCTCACATTGTAGAAAATATTTATAGTCATACTTGTTTCTCAGACTTTTTAGTAATTATTTTGTTGAAAGAAAAAAATCTATGTAATATACTGTTCATCGTAACTTTTCTGTGTGTACCTCACCCAGGTCCCAAGAACATGCTTGGAATCCGTGTACATCACCCCATGTTGTCCTAAAAAAAACTGGGACTTGTTGTCATCTCTATTTTGCAGACCATTAAGAGAATCACAGGCTCACTGAAGTACCCAGCTAGCAAGCATGGAGCAGAACATCGGTCTACTCAGGTGACAGCTTGGAGAAAGCTGTCCTTTAGGATCAGATTTTCTCATCTATTTCTATGCTCCAGTCTGTTTCTTTCTGTTCTATAAATTGTTCTCCATGTAAAAAAAATATTGACAAAAATTATCTGGGGCAAATCATGTGAATTCTTGCAGCTACCAGGTATAAATTCCAATGGAGAACAACAAAGTGACATCCTGGTTGGGACCGGCCAAAATCAGTTCCCAAGTCTGATCAGCAAGGGAATAAATTAATCTAGATGATTGAGTTTATGTTCATTTTCTCCCTTTTATTTTAGGAATTTTCACTTTCTAAAACACTAGAGTGAAAGGGACCTGACAGGTGAACCTCATCTAGAGGGACCCAAAAGCCTTCTGCACGTGCCTCTCGTTCTGCAGACTGTGGGCACCCTCCTCCCTATTCTTCTCCACATCTTCCCTGCTGACAGTTCGAGGTCATTCAATCAGTCCCTGGTACAAAGTACACGTGTATACACATTCTCCAGGCCCAGGATATATGTGTTTAGGTAACTCACTCCCTCTGAATCCTGTTCCCATTTCCTCCCCTGATATTATCTGCTGTTTCCCTCATTCTGAAAAGCAAAACAATACCAGATTTTGGTGCTTAGGTTCTGCATTAGTGCACTAATGGATAGGATCAAAGGCACATATGTTTCAAAAATTAGTGATTTAAAACTCCCAAATGTGATGGTAACTTCACTGTCCTCAAATATCTTGAGAGTCATGCAAAGAGAGAAGACACATTATAAAAAGTGTTATTTCCCTTCTAACAGAATTGAAGGAGGGTTAGATGCACACAGTTCCTTAAATAAGTGAAATTATAGAATACATGCATGTGCATACAAACACATACATGTCACCTGCACAGAGGTGTCAGGTTTTGTGAGAAGCTGGGTAAACAGGGAGTTTACCAGACATGGGGAAGATTGGATGCTGACTAATTGTAGCCAAAATCTTCAGTTTTCTGAATCTTTTCCTGGCCTCTGTCAGTCTTTTATCCCCTTCTTTCTAAAAGGAAGTAATACTACCTAGACAAATACTATTAGATTTGGAGTTATCAGATTTCCTTATGATAACATAGATGAAGCTTGAGAGTTCTTATGTACAACCTGCATTTATCTCTGAGCCTGCCTGTATCCCAGAGGTATCCACTGTCAACATATTTTAAAACATTTATTCATGCAGCTACCTCTTAACATTTTTTAAATCACACACATGTGTTTCTATATATGCTTACATAATAGAAATTTGGTTTTACTTTCCAGCTTTATAATAAACTACCACATGTCAACCTTCTGAGATTCGTTTCTAAAAGTCAACTGACTGTATTTCAATCATTTCTCTGCTATACTGTGTGAATGGACCTCAATAAATGTATTTCTTCCTTTGGCCATGAACCTGTGCTTCTAGTATTTTCCTTTTAAAAACAGCACTGCTCTGTTGCATGTCTCCAGCTACAAGTGTGCAGAACATTTTCACGTAAAAATCTGGGAGTAAAATTGTTGAGCCACTGGAGGACCATAATTGAATAAAGGGTATCATCAACAAATTTCAGCAAAAACAATTTGATGTGGAAACCTTTCCATGCTGATCCTGAACAAAGACCAAAATAGTTTTAAGTTCCTAGGCCATTCCTAAGGGCTTGATGTGGAGAGATGGATTTTGATTTATGATTGGGGATACATAATGGCCCATCTGGTCTTTAGTTTATGTTTCTCTTTGTGCCATTGAATGACAACTGCCACAGCCACAGGGACAGGCACAGCCCCAGGGCATGGATGCAGTCATCCTCAGCTATCAAATCGTGCCCAGTGCCTTTTCCCTTTTGCTCTATTTTCTAATTTTTAAAATTTCTTCCAATTAGTAGAGAAACAGCGCACGCAAGAGAAACAAAAACACACGGAGCAGATTTGACAGGAAAAATAGGGAATAAATCTAACTCCTCCAATAAAGAATAATTTCACTCAGAAATGAGAAAGTGGGTAAAATCACAGTCCCTCCCACAAAACTTCACTGCCCAGAATTCTCCAATCAGGACAGAATCGTCCAGGGAAATCCATAGTTTATTTCAAACCATAGTTGCAGTGTCTGTGTTGGATTATCATCGGTTTATAAGACAACTTGGTTTCTCACTTTCATTTCTTTTTCTTTTGTACTTTCTAACTTAGTACTTGGGAAATAAATACTCAGCAAAAGGGTTTAAGAACCAGCATTGCTCCACCTTATCCCCCCACCTCACCCCTTAAAAACTCGAGAATACGACTATTTTTAGTGTGTGTCAAGCTCTAATTTTATTAGGTACACATTAAATCAGGGATATAGCACTCGAAAACAGTATCCAGACACCAGAAGCCAGTTTGTTTTTTGAAGGTGACTCGATTGCTTTGCGATAGAAGGTACTTTTCTTTATTGCACTTGTCTAATGAACTTGGTCCTTATTGGCCTAGATTCATGAAAACTATCGAGGATTGCCACAGCACACACTACATTCTAAGGGAGTATTAGTAATAGAATCAAAGGAAGCAGAAACTTGGTCTTTGCAGCAAATCTACAGTATCCCAATATATAAACTTAACAGTTCTCTTTGAAAGACTTAAGTGGCTCTTAAAAGAGCCTTTGGTGTTAGCAGAAAAACCCGTAGTTCCGAGTCTACTTGGAGCTGGTGTACTTGGTGACAGCTTTGGTGCCCTCAGACACAGCGTGTTTGGCCAGCTCCCCGGGCAGCAGGAGGCGCACGGCCGTCTGGATCTCCCGCGACGTGATGGTCGAGCGCTTGTTGTAGTGCGCCAGGCGCGACGCCTCGCCCGCGATGCGCTCGAAGATGTCGTTCACGAAGGAGTTCATGATGCCCATGGCCTTGGACGAGATGCCGGTGTCCGGGTGCACCTGCTTGAGCACCTTGTACACGTACACCGAGTAGCTCTCCTTGCGGCTGCGCTTGCGCTTCTTGCCGTCCTTCTTCTGGGCCTTGGTCACGGCCTTCTTGGAGCCCTTCTTCGGGGCGGGGGCGGACTTCGCCGGCTCGGGCATAGTAGAGAACACAGGAGACAAAATGAAGAAAAAAGAAAAGAAATGGAAAAGGGTACGACGCGTCCAGTTTTATATAGAAGCTCTTATGCAAATAAGGTGATAAACCGAGGGGTGTGTGATTGGTGGCTATTCAGAAAAACGTAATTTTTTAGGTGTCCAATCAGAATGGAAGAATCCCAAGTTTGCATTTTCATTAGTTAAGATGAAGCTGACATCTTAGTGACGGACACATCTACTTTTTCGCGCCGAAATACGTTTATTAAAAGTAACGCCCCTGCACTTCTATTTTTATATAGTTATAGTGAGAATACTGAGCTCAAAATGTCCGCAGGCGGCAAACAAGGCTGCAGGGTGCGCGCCAAGGCGAGGACGCGCTCGTTGCGGGTGCCGATGCACTTCTCCGTGGGCCGCGTGCGCCGCCTGCTCCGAGAGGGCGAGTGCGCGGAGCGGGTCGTGGCGGACGCGCCGGTGCACCTGGCGGCGGCGAGAGACGCTGCCCAGGACGGGGAGGCGCGTCATCATTCCGCGCCACGTGCAGCTGGCCATTCTCAAGAAGTTGCTGGGCAAAGTGACCATTTCGGCTCGCGGCATCGTACCCTCCCTCAAAGGCGTGGGGCTGCCGCAGGAACAATAAAAGTAAAGGTTCAAATCAAGGATTCTTTCCCGAGGCACCTAAATATTTTAGAAAGAGCTAGGAATTCATATTTTAAAGTAGGGGTAGAGAAACCTGGTGTCCTATCTGGGGGGGAGGGAAACTTGGTGTTGATATGTGCAATTTGCACTTCAAACCACCAAATGCACACGGCATAAGTCCCCAAACGTGCATTCAAAGTCAACGGTAAGACAAGGCTAAGTGCTCTCGAGTGCGCAGCTGTTTCCAGAGACCTCTGGGGTGGCTCTGAAAAGAGCCTTTGGGTTTCGATGCCTTTGAAAAGGCCCACCTCCTACTTCTTTTTCGGAACCGCCTTCTTAGCCTTTGCCGCCTTCGGCTTGGCTGCCTTGGGCTTAGCGGCTTTAGGCTTGGCCGCCTTAGGCTTCACAGCCTTGGGCTTAGCCGGGCTCTTGGCTGCCTTCTTGGGCTTTGCGGCGGCCTTGGCTTTCTTAGGGCTCTTGGCCACCTTTTTGACGCTACCAGTCGCAGACTTCTTCGCCTTCTTAGGAGTCTTCTTGACGGGTTTCTTGGACCCTGCAGCCTTTTTGGGCTTCTTGGGGGTAGACCCTGCAGGCTTACGGGGCTTGGCCGCACCCGCCTTCTTGGCTTTGGGCTTGGCCTCCCCGGAGGCCGCCTTCTTGTTGAGCTTGAAGGACCCCGAGGCGCCGGTGCCCTTGGTCTGCACCAGGGTGCCCTTGCTCACCAGGCTCTTGAGGCCCAACTTGATGCGGCTGTTGTTCTTGTCCACGTCGTAGCCTGCGGCAGCCAATGCCTTCTTGAGCGCAGCCAGGGAAAGGCCATTGCGCTCTTTGGAAGCTGCCACGGCCTTGGTGATGAGCTCGGACACCGGCGGGCCGGACGCTTTGCGTTTTGCTGCGCCCCCTCCCGCCGCCTTCTTGGCCGCTTTCTTCTTGGCTGGGGACTTCTCCGTCGGCGCCGGGGCGGCGGTCTCGGCAGGAGCGGTTTCCGACATGACGATTGGAGGAGCTGCTAGAGGAGGAGGAGGAGAGACTCAAAATCCAAACAGCGGGTTTGTAGTGCTGCCCGCCTAGGGCCCGGGCTTATATAAGGCAGGGCTGCGCTGTGATTGGTGGGGCGTCCTATCCACGAGCCTCGGGCAGCCGCCTTTAGCGGTTGGACTTCCAAATTGTGTTCCTAATTGTGTTGCTTAATCCCAAAAATGCGATTAAATACAGAAAACAGGGATACGGAATGAGACGATTTAAAACACCAAAGTAGGAAAGCAGTCTCCAGAACACTTACTTGTTTGTGGGTTGCTTTTGTTTTTTTTTTAATCAGGTATCACCGATGAAAGATATTTTTAAAAGTCTCTTCGGTCTTCCATAGAAGTCCACCTGCTTTAGGGCGTTGTGCTACTTAGTTCCATGGGCCAAAAATTTCTACTGTATATCAAGTGAACTTTTTTTTTAAAGACAGCTCTTTTCCTAAGTTTGGCCTTTGATTTTTACAAGAGAAAAGACACTAGGGTATAAACTTTGTTTCTAACCACAGGAAGGACTACAGGCTCAGGGCAGCACTACAGCCCCACATTAACGGCCTAGACCTTATTTTGAAGACCGGTCCTGCTTCCTAGGCGTTTGCACGCACCTATGACTTTAGAGACAGGTATTTTGCAGTTTAGAAAAGTTCAGCTGCACCAGGGGGGATAGAAATTACTTTGGTGCCAAAATCCAAAGACCTGGATTCAAATTAAATCCTAAATTTGGTGTAGTTGATTGAGGTGCATTCTCTCCTTAGTTCCCACCAAGATCTATTAAAATAAGGATAAAAAAATGTTTAGCCCGGTAAATGTTTTAGAAAACACTCGAGCCTGCCAAAAAAAAAAAAATTCTTCAAGGGCTTCCAGTAGCCATCAAACGCATTAATGGGACTTTCCTATTTTCAAGGAGCTTTTCCCATCCATCATGTCCATCAGCATTACCGGATTGTGCCATCAGGAACACTCTTGTCTGTAAGCAGATAGAAGACATCAATGTCGGTATCATTTTAAGCATCCATAGGCCTGTATTTTATAAAAAAAATAATTGGCTACTTTCTATGAGAAATGTGCATTTCCTGAACTCAGAATTCAGGAAAACTTCACATCCCATGGAACTGAGACAGTGACCTTGAGTTTGAAATAGCAGGTGAAGTTTGCCCTTTGCTCGCAAGGAACCTATGGTGGGGAATAAACAATAATTTGTGCCTGGCCTGATGATAAGGGACATCAAACGATGATTGTGACCTCCGATGTAATACATAGTAATTCGTGTTCTCTGTGACATACTTTATAATGAAATAGCCAATACACTTCTCTCAAGGGCGTCCTGGAGTTGAAGCTGTAGCCAAGGATGGCCACATGGGGACAGGGGTGTTTTTGTAAGATCCTCAAGCTAAAAGTGGTGTTTGGATTTTTTGTGTTAGAAAAAAATGTAATGGAGACCACACATGGCCAACAAAACTTAAAATAATTACTATCTGGCCCTTTTATTGTGTTCTGAACTCATCCACAGAGACAGACACTGAGGTATACTGCTACAAACCTGCCTCTTTTAGAACAATGGGAATTACGGTATAATGAAAAGGTCTTAAGAAGATATTCTAACCAAGCACTTTCTGCTATTTCAATCACAAAACTTTTAGAAAATCTAGGGGGTTAGGAGGTGGATTCCTCCATGCTTTAGGTGCAGGAGAGACAGGTATAATAAGGGCTAATGCACAGGGAGCATTTACTAAATGCCAGGAGCTAATCTAAGGATGCTGTGCAGCTTTTAACTCACTTGCCATCTTTTATACCTATACAAGTTGAGGCTAGGAAAGAGGATGGGTAACTTGTTAAAGGTCACACAGCTAACAGTTGGTGACTCTGAGGTTTGAATACAGATCAGCTAGGTCTATTATGATGGGAAAACCCTAGAGGGTGTGGAGAGAGGTTTCTGAAGCTAGAAACAGCCAGTGGTGCCTGACAGCTACGAACAGAGCTCCAAACTAATCTGTAGGGAAAAGCTTCTGGCTCCATCAGACAGTTTTTGCTGAATCAGTTCAGAGACCGTTCAAAAAGCTTAAGGCGCCAATAGTTGGGATATACCGGTAAAGCTCTCTGAGGGGGCAAATCCAAAACCAGGAAGAAGTGGCCCAGATGGCTGAGCTCACTGAACACTCTCTGGAGAAAAATTGCCTTGCATATAACTCCACTCCCTCTTGGAGCTGGGATGTGCCCCCCCAAAGGTGAGCAGCAGTGAGGCATTGATAGTCATATATGAAAACACAAGGAGACTAAAAAGCTGAAAATATTGGGCAAAATAAACAGCTGAGTTTGGTTGAAAAGCAAATTATGACTGGAAACAAAGAACAGCTTTAAAAATGACATCTCAGATTTAATGCCTACTTGAAAAGAAAAACCGTGAAATTCCAAGTTTGACAAGCACATATTTGAGACACTTAGGCCAAGTTCTTACAATTTAGGGGGACATTGGGAACACATTTTACAGATGACAGCCTGCAGGTGCTTAAGGTCATCTCTCCATTTTCCAGTCGTATACAAAGCTCACAGCATCACGTGTCACTACATGGAAACAAAAGCTAGAACGGTTTTGAACAGTCAGAACGTTGTGGAAGGAAAGAAAGTGAGTGGCAGGAACGCAAGTGAGCAAGACACTGGAACACATTGTAAAAGTTAAATATATAATTTAAACTTACTAGGCTTCTCGTAGCCAAGTATGTTTAAATTATACACTGGCCGAATCATTGTTAGAAATACTTTTTCAGAAAGCATTTCTTACAGTCCTCACGGGGTAAGAGAACGAGCAAGTCCAGCCACCGATCATTGCAAAAGCAAAGTTTACAGGCACAGTCTGCTGCCGGTAGCCAGCACTTTCTGCACTCCGGAACCTGGAACTCAAATGCAGCTTTCCAAAGTGGCCATGTTTCGGAAAAGCCAACAGCTCTTTATCGATGAGAATTGATGGGCTCTGAAAAGAGCCTTTAAAGGTGGAGCGTATAGCTGTGGAACACCGAAGAAATTAAGCCCTCTCTCCGCGGATGCGGCGCGCGAGCTGGATGTCCTTGGGCATGATGGTGACGCGCTTGGCGTGGATGGCGCACAGGTTGGTGTCCTCGAACAGGCCCACCAGGTAGGCCTCGCACGCCTCCTGCAGCGCCATGACGGCCGAGCTCTGGAAGCGCAGGTCGGTCTTGAAGTCCTGCGCGATCTCGCGCACCAGGCGCTGGAAGGGCAGCTTGCGGATCAGCAGCTCGGTGGACTTCTGGTAGCGGCGGATCTCGCGCAGGGCCACGGTGCCGGGCCGGTAGCGGTGCGGCTTCTTGACGCCGCCGGTGGCCGGCGCGCTCTTGCGGGCGGCCTTGGTGGCCAGCTGCTTGCGCGGGGCCTTCCCGCCCGTGGACTTGCGCGCTGTCTGCTTGGTCCGAGCCATATCGACACGGAAACAACAACCTAACGGTAAAGAGCAGAGGAGCCGGCCAACGCAATATTTATAGAGACTCTCGCGCTCTGATTCGACGGGACCTGCCCCTCCCACTTCCTCCCTGCCGATTTAGTTCTTGGTTTTCTTCTCAGGAAGGGAAACATGTTCCCGCCTGTTAAGTCTTGCTAGAGTGTATTAAGAAAATAGCTTACTGGTTTTAAAAAATTGTCTAGAATGATTAGAAGTTCTTAAGGAAATGTCTTGAAACTTGGAAAGTTCTTTGCACTGTTTTAAATAAAAGGTGTCATAATGGTGTTCTCGATAATAGTTTGATGAACGTGAAAGAGAAAAGGAACAAGTTAAAAGGAAGAATTGAAGTAGTTTCAGCTTGTAACCACTGTGCCGCGCCGGCCTTGTCAAACTTGAGCGTGCTTAAGAATCGCTCATTTTAAAAACAAAGGGTAGCCAATTTTCTCTCTAAAAAGTCGTGATGATATTTATTCGGTCTTTGATACTAGCGTGAACTTAGTGGACACAATAAAGGTATCAAAACAGGCAGCGTAGATCTGAGTCACAGACTTTACCACATTAGTGGGTGATAGACATACTGGGCATGCGGAGGAGGCCAGGTGGTACCAAAAAGCACCTGAAATGCGGAAGTCACACAATTTAAGTTCCTAACTGAATTCCCAGAGTTTATGTTAACCTAGTGTGAGGCAGGTTCTCTGAGAAATGAAGGATTTTATAAAATGCCCACAGCTTTTAAGTAGATTTTCAGGGTGGCCGCAAGGAACTTTGCATAATGAAATGGCCGTAGAGGGCGCCTGAGCAGGCAAACAGCGCCGGGGTGGTAAGTTGGGAGGAGGGGAAAGCGGAGAGGGCTGTGGCCGCGGGAGGGAGCTCCCCCTTCACAAAAGCAAAGTGAGGCCTCGGGGCTCGGAGGAAGTTAGATACCCGAATTAGAACACTGACTCCTTTGTCTACTCAATGGTACCTTATGAACTGAGTAGCCTTGGGTTTAGGGGGAGTCCCAGCCTGAGAATGGAAATCTGCAAGCCACGCTAGTTTTTTAAACCCAAACCCACCTCGGTGCGGCGGATAGTGGCGACACTACGCCTCGGAGCCAGGGCAGTTTTGGAGGAGGCAGCTGGAGGGCAACCCTAAACGTGATCTTGTGACGTCGCCCAGATGAAATACGTTAGAAATGACCACTCTCACTTTGCTAGCAATGACCCACTCTAGTTAATGTGGGTTTTGGGGGACGACTCATTTCTGCTTATTAAAACCTCTACGCTGCTGCGCTCATGCAATAAATACGAGCTGGGAAGCAGCGACGCTTCCAGAGATGTGCGCCACTAGGAACTGCCTAGTCACCAACCATGGCCAGTGGTGGGTCTTTCCACAGGGTGCAAGTGAGGTTAAGGTCCCCGCCGGAGGGCGAGGACGCCTTATCTCCGTGCCCTCCACTGCCAGGGCGGGAAATGCCGATTGCTTTGATTCCAGCACATTCCCCACATTAACCAGTGAACACACAGCTCTTTCCCAGAGAAAGTGGTCGGCCCTGAAAAGGGCCTTTTGAGAAAAAAGCTAAGAGGGTGGGAACGAGTGTCTCAGCCGCCGAAGCCGTAGAGCGTGCGGCCCTGGCGCTTGAGCGCGTAGACCACGTCCATGGCCGTGACCGTCTTGCGCTTGGCGTGCTCCGTGTAGGTGACGGCGTCCCGGATCACGTTCTCCAGGAAGACCTTGAGCACCCCGCGGGTCTCCTCGTAGATGAGGCCGGAGATGCGCTTGACGCCGCCGCGGCGGGCCAGGCGCCGGATGGCGGGCTTGGTGATGCCCTGGATGTTGTCGCGCAGCACCTTGCGGTGGCGCTTGGCGCCGCCTTTGCCGAGACCCTTACCTCCCTTACCACGACCAGACATGTTCGCAGATGGAACAACTAACTTTTAGAGACTTGCACGCAGTGCTTTATATACTTCTTCAGCGGACCTGTTTGGAAACGTATCTGGTCAGCTTCCTCCCGCCCCGCGCTTTTTCCGAAAATGAAAAGGGCGGTGCTTCATTAAACCACTTGGTTTAGAAAAAAACTACAGCTAACATCGTATTCAGAAATGAAGAGCTGAAAACTTTTTCTTTATTTTTCAGGAAGAGGACAAGGATGTCCACTCTCACCATTTTTATTCCACGTAGTATAAATAGTCTTAGCTATCACAGCCAGACAAGAAGTTAAAGGCATCCGAATTGCAAGGTAAGAAGTAAAACTCATTGCACAGGACAGGATACTCTATACAGAGACCCCTAATGATTACACCTAAAAGATATTAGAACTAACAAATAAATTTAGTAAAGTAGCAGAATACAGAATATTCAGAAATCAGTTTCATTTGCATACACCAATAACACTATAAAAAAGAGATTAAAACCACAATAAGATGTCGCCTGGCACCTGTTAGAATGGCTACCATCAATAAATCAACAAACAGCAAATGGTGAGGATGTGGAGAAAAGGGAACCCTCGTGCACCAATGGTGGGATTGTAAACTGGTGCAGCCACTGCGGAAAAAGTGATGGAGGTTCCTCAAAAAATTTAAAGTAAAACTATCATATGACATAGTAATCCTACTTCTGAGTATTTATATGAAGAAATTCAAAACACTAATTCAAAAGATATATACATCCTTTTATGTTTTTTGAAACATTATTTACAATAGCCAAGATATGGAAGCAACGTAAGTGTCCATCAATAGACAATTGGGTTACTATGTCATATGTTATATAATAGACTATTACTCAACCATTAAAAAAAAGAACCCAATCTTCCATTTGTGACAACATGGATGGACCTAGATGGTATTATGCTCAGTGAAATAAGACAGATAAAGACAAATACATACTATATGATTTCATTCATATGAGGAATTAAAAAAAAATAAATGAACAAATAAAATAGAAATAACTCCTAGATACAGAAAAAAATTGATAGTTGCCAGAGGGGAGGGGATTTGGGGGATTGGAGTCAAAAGGATAAAGAAATACAATTGCACCCTGGCCAGTGAGGCTCAGTGGATTGCACAGGCCTGCGGACTGAAAGCTTGCCAGTTCCATCCCGCTGGGGCCTAAGCCTGGGTTGTGGGCCAGGTCTCCAGCTGGGGGAATGTGAGAGGCAACCACACATTGATGTTTCTCTCCCTCTCTCTCTCCCTCCCACTCTCTTTAAAAGTAAATAAATAAAGTCTTAAAAAAAGAAATAGAAATTGCCAGTTATAAAAATACTCACCGGGATGAAATATAGCTGAGGGATTATAGTTCACAACATTGTAATAACAATTTATGGTGTCAAATGGGTACTAGACTTATCAGGGTGATCAGTTCATAAGGCGTGTAAATGTATAATCACTATGTTGTACACCTGAAACTCATATGATATTGTTTGTCAACTGTAAATGAAAAATAAAACAAACATAAAAGCCTAATTGAAAACTCTTCAGTCCAGCTGCTCCTTCCACAGTGTTTTGTGCTTCCCCAGGTCTGGAAAGGCCATTCCTTTGTCTGGGCCAGGCCTTGCTCTTTTTTTCAGTCATCCTTTAGCATCCATAGCACGACTGACTGTGATTGCTAGATCTGAGGGGCCTGTTCCAACAGCTGTGATTGCATCATCTAGGTTATTTGTGAAGCCTCATATGCAAAGTGCTTTCTGTTGAAACTTAACTGAATCAGCCTGTAAAGGGTCTGACTACATGTAACGCCCCTGATTATGAAAAGCTCAAGGTGGGGATCTTCACTTCTCAGCTTTGCCTGTCTACCCCTTTCCTTCCCTGCTCTGCATTCTGTTGCCTTCTTTTCCCTTTCTTCCTTTGCTTGGGGGGAGAGACAACTTTTATATATTTTTTCATCTTGGTTAGAAACACTTTAGGTTTCTAAAGTTGTTTGAGGAAGGTCAGCTTGCAGGCACTGTTTCCTTGGAGAGTAGAAGAGCAGGGGGAAATGTCTCTCAGAACTGAGGCATCCACTGGGGAGTCTAGGAAGTTGTCCACCAAAGATGGCGGGGGGACTACAATTGTTGTTTCTGGAAACACTGAGAAAATTGACCAGGGCGCCATTATCTGGCGACGTGACAATGCTTTGCTCTGGAAATGATACTGACATTCACTCCTATGTTTCTCAAAGGTGTAATTCTCTCTGTTGAAGTACTATTAAAATGTTCTCATTTTGTCTTTTTCAGAAAATAATAATGCTGATTGACACGAGTTGCCCAATAAATTCTTGTTGAATAACTGGGATAGTTTATCCCCCCCGCCCCATGACAGGGGACATATTCTTTCCAAGAGAAATTTGGCAGTGTTTTAAATTTCATAGAATTCTCTTCTCCTTTAATCGGATAAATAAATGAGCTATGCTTTCCTTTGCAATGTTCTGACTGTTGCTTACTTGTCTACTTGAAAATTTTTTAACGTTCTTAGTTTCAAGTGTTAGAGTCAATCATTTTCAATAGTGGCATATATTTAATTTGTTATACCTCATATTTATTTCATTGACACCTGATTTTGTGTGTTTGGATTGAGGCTTTGGAATTGGCTGGTAGGTTTTGTTGTCTCTTGTGGTTATCTCTTGTTCTTATTTTACTTACTAGTAATTAATACCTCTCATTTTTTCTGTCCCCAAAACACATCCACACTCACACTTAAGCTCTTTGGAGTAGTTTCCACTCCATGAACTTACATCCTCAGCTCTCCCCTCCCAGCCCTCTGTGTCCAGGTCACATACTGAACTGTGAGGCATAGAAGCGTGGAACATCCCTTCTTGCTCCCACGTGAGAACAATCACCACCTTGGCTCTGATCCTTAAACTTCCCTGAGTTTCTAGTGTCTCCATGTGCTATAAATACCAGTGAAAGAAATGTGGAGACACAGAATCCAGTGCCTTCCCTGGACTCCTCGCCTCATCTTACTCACCACTCCTTTTCTAAGGTTCACTCTGTCAAGTTCTTGTCTGCTCATGGCCTCAAAACTGATTTCCTGGGGTACCCCTTACTTGCTCCTTAAACTCTCTCAAGACCCAAAAGTATTGAATTTATAAAGCTTTTCATGCCCAACACTCCCTCCTTGTTTTACCTACAACTCTACTACGTTTCTTCAATTTTGTGCATATGACCACTAATGGTCTTTATGTTTCATAGTAAACTTCCCTTAATTCATCTGATTTCCATGCCTGGAATATATCAAACAATACCTGTCAGAAACTTTGATTTTCTTTCATTCACCTCCCCTTACTAATATCTTCAGGGTTGGACACTGACAAAACAACAGTCAGGATGAAAAGGAGATCCCCTAATGTAGGGGTCTTCTGTTGTCTCTCCCTCTGGCTTTAGAACGGGGACAGCGGTTAACAATACAGTTCCTAAACTTCTGTTCTTCAAAATCGGACTGGTTGCTCTAGGCAATAGTTGTGTTCCACCAAAAGTCATATGTTGAAACCTAATCCCTAAAGTAACGGTGTTTAGACGTGGGACCATTGCAAGGTGCTTTGGTCATAAACTCAAAGCTGTCTTGCTTGGGATTAGAGCCCCGTAACAGGATCTGGACATCCATCATCTCTTCCACCCCACGGGGACATAGTGAGAGATGCCTGTCTTTGTACCAGGAAGCGGGCTCTCACCAGACACTGAATCCGACAGGGCGCCGCTCTTGGACTTGCCTCCTTGCAGAACCGTGAGAAAAACTTTCTGCTGTTTAAGCTGCCCCGTTTGTGGAATTCTGGCATAGAAGCCTGACTGGACTCAGTGACTGGTGTTCGGCAAGCCTTATGTAAAAAGTACTTAGATTTGGTGCCTTTGGTTTTGGTGTTTGTTCTAGGTCATTTGGAAGTCAAGACAGAAAATGGTTGGAGATGCTGGCTCAGATGTCCAGGTGTGACCTGAATAAGAGCAGCAAGATTGACTGGGCTTTGGGCTCAGCTCTTGCTTTTGACATTTGTTTCTTGATCTTAGAAGGGAATATTTTATTTATTCACTCCCTTAAATTACCTCTGTTGTTTTGCTATCACAAATAACATTTTGATGAATATTCTTGATTTATCCTCTTATGGTTCTGTAGGAGAATTTCCTTGTGGCACAGGCCTTAGTAAAACACAGTTTTATGAAGTTAGAAAGTTCTTTGGAGGGAGAGGGGCATAAGGGGACTAAATGGTAATGGGGAAAATACAATAAAGATTAAATTAAAAAACGTACTTCAAAACATTTGTGTAAAACTACCATCAGTAGCCATTACATAAAAATTTCTCCACCTCTCATGCAACACTTAGTAAACCCAACTTTCTGATTTTGATAATCTGCTGGATGTTGTCTAGTATGTCACTGTTGTTTTAATTTACAGTATGTAATTAAAGATGAAGCTTAAAAACTCTTCATGTAATTGCTAGCCATTCCGTTGCCTCCACTTAAAAACAGACTTTTTTCCTTCAAGGTTGGAATAAACTACTAGACTCAAAGCATAGTTTCTAACACAGCACTGACATTTCCTATAAATCCTCTGTCAGTCCACTTAGGTAAGTGAAAAACAAACCCTAATTCTCCTGTTTTCCTACCGCCATTAGGCTCAGTCTCACCCCTCCTCCCCTTCCCAGGTGTGTTAAGAGAAACCTGCATCGGCTTTGTCACCCGAGAGCCTTTGGAGGAAACAAACTTTTCTAGAGCTAGATAGAATAGCCATACCTTGACTAGACCCTGGGGGCTATTGTCAGATTCACATACATGTGAAAATGCTTTGAAAACTGTAAAACTTTATATAATTGTCTGTATTATATCTATTCTCCATGTGACAAAAGTGGCAACAAAAAGCATCTGGGATGAAACGTGCAATACATTCCTGGGAGGTAGGAAGCACTGACTACCTGTGACTGGGAGACACTTTCTGTGTAAAAGGTGGCAAGTTAGCAACATTCATTTCACTACAATTTATTGACCAGCTGCCGTACATTAGGCATTTTCTTTTATTCTAGGGATACAACAGAAAATAAAACAAGTATTTGGCCTTGAACACTCGTGGAGCTAGTATTTCATACATGCGAGTGTCATGTAAGGCATGAGTGATACGAGAGGCCCCAGTGGTCTGGTCTCCCTGTGGCTTCAACCTCAGGGAGGTCACCAGGATATCATATGATAGTTTCCAGGGCTCAGCAACCAGATCTCCCTGGAACCGTGCCTAGGACTGTTGCTCACACAGGTCTGCACTACTACAATCCCAGAAGCTAGTAAAAAAAAAAGTGAGAGGGCTCATTTGCTAATTTTCTATCAAGCCCTGGAATGGCTGTGAACGTAAAATTTCAGAACTTTATCCTATAGGGTCACCAGGAACTACTCCTGAACTATTGCTCAGTATGAGCACTAACCGTTTTTTTTTGTTGTTGTTTTTTTTTGGCGAGTTCAAATGAGTCAGCTTTTCACGTAACAATTAAAACGTGCAAGGTAGCCTTCCCCATGCAGGGAAGACATAAGAAAGACAGCTAAGTTAAGCAGAACTCTGCCAGATTGTAAATACCCAAGGTGGGGAAGAGGGGGGGGTGCCGGTTACCTTATACACTGGACCCCTTGTGTACACGTTGGGTAAATCCTTTCCAGAGGGAGGACCCCTTCTGCTTTTCACACGTGGGAAATTGAAGGACCCAAGGGGTGAGTTTAACTGCATGGAGGTGTTCTCTCAAACTGCTACTCAGCAACTGGAATTTACCATTAAGACTATACGAGACCTTGCCAATACTTCAGTGCATTTTTGCATGAAAAAAAAAAAATACTTACAGTCTTGGCAGGAGCTGTGGTCCCCCTTCCCCGTTTTGAGTTCTGTACTAACGTGCTATTAACACCTACAGAAACAGTGCAACAGCCACTGTCAGGGAGAATAAAGTGGCTCTGAAAAGAGCCTTTGGGTTCAAGACTACCACTTGCGTTTAGCTTATGCCCTCTCTCCGCGAATGCGGCGCGCAAGCTGGATGTCCTTGGGCATGATGGTGACGCGCTTGGCGTGGATGGCGCACAGGTTGGTGTCCTCGAACAGGCCCACCAGGTAGGCCTCGCACGCCTCCTGCAGCGCCATGACGGCCGAGCTCTGGAAGCGCAGGTCGGTCTTGAAATCCTGCGCGATCTCGCGCACCAGGCGCTGGAAGGGCAGCTTGCGGATCAGCAGCTCGGTGGACTTCTGGTAGCGGCGGATCTCGCGCAGGGCCACGGTGCCGGGCCGGTAGCGGTGCGGCTTCTTGACGCCGCCGGTGGCCGGCGCGCTCTTGCGGGCGGCCTTGGTGGCCAGCTGCTTGCGCGGGGCCTTCCCGCCCGTGGACTTGCGCGCCGTCTGCTTGGTCCGGGCCATGACTAACACTCGCGAGCACTCAGCTGCAGAAACAGCACGAGAGAGGAACCTTCGCCCGCTATATATAAGGCGAGTCCAGCGCTGATTGGACCAGGCATCTGCCCATCAATGCTCGCAGTGAAGGTATTGGACGCGGCACACACTTTCTGATCGCAGCAGCCTCTGGGACGTTCAGACCGGAAACTAATCTCCTCCCACACACCCGTTCTCCAGCGGCTGTTTTATACTCTTCTCTGTATGTACCATCTTTTCCCGTTTTCTTTAAAATGTTCTCTGGCCTTACTCCGAAGACTTTAATGTAAATATTATAATGACATATCTTGTTTTCTGAATAAAAATTTTCATTTTTGCACTTGAAGCTGGTTTTCCTTTGATCTTTTTCAAAAGGCGCGCGCTTCATGCGATTGGCTGAGGGAATTTTTTTTAGCTTCATTCAAGTTTAAGAAAACGAATTTCACGTTAAAATCTTGACTTCTGTATTTAAACTTAGAGGCTCTTACAGTGTCTTATACACTTTTTGTCTATATGTAACTCAACACTTGATATTTCTTTTTTCACTAGCAAGGATTCTAACATAAAGCATTCCACATTTCTCCATTTCAAGTGAGATTTGTGTAAAATGGGGTTAAGGAAAATACCCTCAAATTTGTAAATGGCACAGCAAAATTACTGTGTGCCCTTTTTAAAGTTAAGCTACCCAGGGTTGAGTTTTGCGTAAAGGACATGACTGGGGGCATGAAGTATTACTTTACTATTGGGAACCGGCTAGGGCCCCGAAGTGTTGTAGATAAGCAAGTTGCAGAGGACCTGCCCTATTATGATGCAAAACTCGTGGAGAAACACTAAAGTGGTTTGCTTTTATTGCTGGGGGCACGTAAAGATTTGCATTTAAATTAAGTCCTGCAGCACTGATTACTTGTGATAAAGTGTCTCTATTTTACTAGGTTCTGCCTTACTGGAAGTTAACTTTCGCCTTTCCACCAGTGTTCATATAGTGCCACCTACTGATAGGTTGGTAAATATCTTCATGTAGCTTCTACACTACGGAAAAAGCAAGCCCTTTTAGGAAAACATGAGTGGCTCTGAAAAGAGCCTTTGGTTTGGTTAAGACAGACATAGTCTGGTCTTCCAGTTCACTTGCCCTTGGCCTTGTGGTGGCTCTCGGTCTTCTTGGGCAGCAGCACGGCCTGGATGTTGGGCAGCACGCCGCCCTGCGCGATGGTCACCTTGCCCAGCAGCTTGTTGAGCTCCTCGTCGTTGCGGATGGCCAGCTGCAGGTGGCGCGGGATGATGCGCGTCTTCTTGTTGTCGCGCGCCGCGTTGCCCGCCAGCTCCAGGATCTCGGCCGTCAGGTACTCCAGCACCGCCGCCAGGTACACGGGCGCGCCGGCGCCGACCCGCTCGGCGTAGTTGCCCTTGCGCAGCAGGCGGTGCACGCGGCCCACGGGGAACTGCAGACCCGCCCGCGACGAGCGCGTCTTGGCCTTAGCGCGCGCCTTGCCGCCCTGCTTCCCGCGTCCAGACATAGTAGTAACAACACTTAAACCCTAACTTGAGTGTGGTTTGAAGTGCCAGAGCTCCCTCTTTTATAGTCGCTCCTGGGCGCGAAAAGGAACTTGTGCCATTGGCCAAAAGTTACAGCCCTTTCATTTAAACCAACGAAATCCTCTTCCTGAAACACGTTTATTTTGACTGGACAATGTTCACGTGACGTTTCTGGGGTTACCGCCTATCAGGCGTGAGTTTGCTCACTGGTTCCTTTAAAAGTCTGTGAACCCAGCGGGCACTCGCAGCCTAACGCTCGTTCTTTCTCTTTTTCGGTGTTTCCTTCTGACCATGCCTGAGCCAGCCAAGTCCGCGCCCGCCCCGAAGAAGGGCTCCAAGAAGGCCGTGACCAAGGTTCAGAAGAAGGACGGCAAGAAGCGCAAGCGCAGCCGCAAGGAGAGCTACTCGGTGTACGTGTACAAGGTGCTCAAGCAGGTGCACCCTGACACGGGCATCTCGTCCAAGGCCATGGGCATCATGAACTCCTTCGTGAACGACATCTTCGAGCGCATCGCGGGCGAGGCGTCGCGCCTGGCGCACTACAACAAGCGCTCGACCATCACGTCTCGGGAGATTCAGACGGCCGTGCGCCTGCTGCTGCCCGGGGAGCTGGCCAAGCACGCCGTGTCCGAGGGCACCAAGGCCGTCACCAAGTACACCAGCGCCAAGTGAGCCCTCCTCGAAGAGACTGATCCGGCTTGCTCACATCCAAAGGCTCTTTTCAGAGCCACTCACCTCCAAGATGGAGCTGGTGTGCTTTACCCTTCAGCTGTGTGTTTTGGGTGGTGGTGGGTGGGTCTTGGGGGCAGCATCTTACAAAGTAACAAGGTAAATTTAGTGTTTCCCTGACATCTGTTTAAACAACCAAAACTTGGCATTTTTGCAAGTATTTCTGGTGTCAAAACTTAGCATCCAACTTTTTCCCCACCGTGGTTGGGTAGCAGCTATATGTCAAAGTGTGGAGGTCAACGTTTCACCACCAAAATATATTACAGGGGTTTAGTGAGAGTGGCAAGTGATTGACAAATTCTGGGCTTGGAGAAGGGGTACACGGAGGAGCCGGTGTAGCAATGTTAGATTCCCTGAGCTTTGGGCAGATGGAGGGCACAATAGGCCATGTGCTCTGCAGGCTTCTTTCCCCTAGGGCCTCTCCCCTTTTCTCTTGGTGTATAGGACAAGGAACAAGGGTGCTGGTACCTTTCGTTACTCTTCCTTTTCCTGTGTGAGTAAACAATAAACTCACTGAAACTAAAACTAGGTTGTCTCTACCAGCCACATCAGTCTAACAAAACCCAGCAAGAAACAGGTTCTGTTATAACCTCCATTTCCCAAAAATAAATAAATAAATAATAAATAAATAAATAATAAATGCAAGTATTTAAGTCTAGGTCTTGAAGGAAGTTTTGACAAGCCAAAGTGGGAAAGGGCATTCCAGGGAGAAAGTATGGTGAGAACTAAGGCATCAATGAGACTGGCTGTGACAGCACCTGCCTCCTGTGTGCTTGACAGTAATTCTGTTTAGTACCCAGGTTTCCTTTGAGCGATTATTCTGAGGAGTCTGTGGTGGAATTAAACAGCTTTACTGAATAGACTTTGCTTTAGGGGAAGAATCTTAACCATCCTTATACCCTAGACCATTTTTGGCTATTTGTGAATTGTACCCATGGGCTTAGTGTCAGAAACTGACTGTCTCACACACTACCGAGAAAAAAATCGTGTTGAATAAATAAATGGTAGTTGTTATTACATTATATATTTGGTATATTAGTATCTACAAACAGACATCTATACATATGAATTCCACTCACACATGAGAAACTCCTGAGGGGGGTAGATAGGCTTGTATCCATTTTTTTTTTAAGTACCCATTCTCAGGTGTCCATTCACGTCGGGTAGATGGGAATCACAGGTGGCTGGAGTGGTCGGAGAAGTACTGGTCCCTCACACTCCTTTCCCATGCATCTAATAGTCTTTGAAAATATTTTTATTTCAATGTACGTTACTTGTTTTAAAACATGAAGCAATAATAATGTTACTGTGTGAAGGGAAATGTGTTGATCTTCTGGGGACGGGAGGAATTCAATAGATCCAAACTGAACTTTGATTCTACTGTTCCTTCTTGGTGTTGGTGGTTTATATATTCATGACCTCCACCCTTGCAGGTGAAGGAAACTGAGGAAAACCACACACCAGCTCTAAATTAATGATGAGTAACCTAGAGTGAGCCCTTAGTACTCCCTGCCCTGTAATCCCAAACAACTCCCTAGCCCACTCTTCTGTTTTGAGCAGCTTAGTGGTCCATATCAAACCTCTCTGAATATCATCTGGCTTAAGAAAGTGCTTTGTTCACACTGTGAGACAAACAAGGATATCATCTCCACCACCTCCATCTCTGGGTTGGATATGCCTACACTTGGTAAAATGGTTAAAAGTTTTCAGATTCAACTCCGGGGTGGAAGGACCAACTCCTTTGAAAATAAGCTCCGATTTTTATAATGTACAAAGCTGAAAGTGCAATCGAAAAGATCAAACATATACTAAGAGAAAAGTGCAAATGCAAAATAATTATGCTATCTTTTGTGTGAAAAAAGAAATAATTGACACAAATATTACACATATGTGTAAATATAAACGAGAAATTAAGGATAGAGCTTACTTCTAAGGGGTGATGGTGAGAAGTGGGCTGATGGGGGATGAGGATGGAAGGAAAATTTCAACGTATCTTTTTTATCTTTCAGTTCCTGCTTTTGAAAACACATGAATGTATTATGCATGCAAAAAAGGCTTAAAATTTAAAAATGTTTAACATCTGTATCCCTTTTATTTTGGAATAAGTGTGTAGAGTGTACCAAAGAAAGAGCTTTTGTCATCCTTGTTGAAATTTTGGAAATTTTTTCTTTCTTAGTTTTTTATCTTGTTTTCTGTTAGACTGAATTGGGGGGTGTGTGATATGACATGTGAGTGATATATGATTAACACAATCTGTTTTGAGAAGCAATAACATAATTCAGGTTCTTTCTCTAAAGAAGGCTCCTCACAGGAAAACAAAATAAAGTAAATAAAAGTAAGGACCTCCCTCTGTCACCATTTTGCTTTGAGAATGAGGTGGAGTGGACGCCTGAGCCCAGGCAACCCTGAGAGGACGTTATTCAAAGGGGGCAGGATCTGCCAGCAAGGAGGTTTGAAGGAAGTGGAAGTCCTGCTTAACTTGGACGCTCTTAAAACAGCAAAACTACCACCACTACGTGGCCAGTACGGGGATCGAACCCGCGACCTTGGCGTTATTAGCACCACGCTCTAACCAACTGAGCTAACCGGCCAGGACAACGGTGTATTGAAACATATTCATACAGTAGTGTTCTTTACAGTCATCTTGGCTAGAAGAAGGAATTGTTCCCTTTTTCTTTCCGTCCTCTTCTGGTGAAGGAAGACGGGGTGGCGGGGTGAGGAAAAGAGGAAAAGCTCCAAATTTGTGTTTCTTCCGGGTAAACTTGGTCTTTTTCAAACTCACCGAGAAGACTCCGTGCTCGGGGTCGCGGGTCTGGAGCTGCAGTGCCGGCATCCGACACGTGGTGGCGCCCGAATGCGGGGCCGCCTCTCCAGAGCCTGTGACCCGTTTGGGTCCCCAGGAACCAGGACCCCCAAAACCCGTGGCGAAGAACGTTCAGAGTCAGGGCCGTTGTCTGAACCAGGAGAAACCCGGGATCGCAGAGGATGATCTGGGGCTGACCACCTGCGGACAGGTGTCCTCCAGGGAGGGCCCAGCGGAGCACTCGTTCGATGAGTCACCTCTGCTCCCTTCGCTGGGTTCCTCTCCCTCCCTCCCGGGATGACCGTTTCTCAGTTAGAGGTAGTGATATTTTCAAAAGTTAATTGACCTGTGCACATTTTAAAAGCTCTCTCGTATATCTACATATTGCACAGTCTTGTTTTGGAAAAGTAATACTAGAACATAAATAAAGTACTTGATAGTCACTCTGTTGACCTAAGAATGTCCAAATCGGTAAAGAGTTTTTATAAGATTTTACTGGAGCCAAACTAATCATAATTGCTGAGAAGCAACATCTCAAATGCTTCCAGAGAGTGACAGTTCTGCAGCATCTTTCATACATTTGCAATAAAGGAGGTGATGTGAAGAAGATGACATAAAGGTGGGAGAAAGCAAGGGTGGAATTGGATAACAGGAGAATTAACAGAACGGTGTGCTCTCTGGGAAGTGTTTAGGCCTCCCTCCGATCTGAAAAAGAAGATTACTTCTGACCTTTCAAAGGCATGTTAACCTAGATGCATAATGGGCTTGCTTAAGGCAAAGATAAGCATTTACTAAAGAACTGTAGTCCTGGTGCCCAGTACCCACCTTTAAATTAAATTAAATATAAATTAAAGCAGGGCCTATCTTCTACTTGCTTTTTGTGATCCTAATCCAATACAAGATATTTTCTCTAGATGAATAGAAACCAATTTGAATGTACGTCAGGCGAATATTCTATCATTCAGGCCTTACACTTTGCCAGGGGAAGGGGTACTCTGTAGAAGACAACAAACTAGAAGGTTGAACATCATTCCCAATACAGATACCAAGATGCTGTGGAGTTTTAAGTAAAGCTGTGCCATAAGGTGTTCTAGGTTCAAAAAGATCTCTCGGACTACTTTTCATAGAATGCTTTGTAAAGCTGCAAAGGGTGGAAGAAGGGAAACCTATTAGAAGGTTTTTGCAATATTTCCTGTTAGAGATGAAAGGTGTCTTGGACCAGGTAGTAGCTGTTAGGTAGTGAGTTTTTCAGGCATAGCTATATTTTGAAGGTTGAGCAATAAAGAATTCCCTCACCTTTGTGGAATGAAAGAATAATTTAAGTCAAAGATGTTGCCAAGATTATCTTTGTCTATCTAAAAAGTTGAAATTCTCATTAAATAAAGTATGTAAGCTTGTATTTAAAGGTTTTGTTGGAGACACTAAGGAATCAGCTGTCCCATTCCTTTCATGTGCTCTGACAAATGACCTACACATGGCTCTGAGGAGCTGCAGTGGCCGCGTGGTGAAGGTGTTGAACTTCAGATCCAGTGAGGCCGGGTGGTGAAGGGGTTGAACTCCAAATCCAGTGGAGTCTTCGGCTGCAGGTTCAAATACTGTTCACGGCGCTCGTGACTTGCTTCTTTTTACGTATAGATCCTACGACTTGAAACTTCTGCAAAACTTAAGTCCGCCCAACACGCAGAAAAATGAGGGTGGAAGAGGGAGTCAGTTCCAATTTATAACTGGAATATTTTAGGGGAGTTGGGGCCCCAGCCAGCTGTGAGTTCGGCTATATCCCTTTCCTTTTGTGGGCGTCTGTTCCTCCCCTTCCTCCCCCACCCCCACTTCACTATCCACGCGGAGCTCCGGCTGCAGAGCACTCTGAAGATACCGGCTGTGTCGAGATGAAGTTGAGCCTGATGGTTTTCTGATCACAGCAGCCGAGGGCCGAGGAGACGTTGAAAATCTTGGGAGCACTTTTGCTTTCTGATGATCCCTTACAGCGCTCTCCAGCAGCAACCTTCAGTGTTCCTCATCAGAGGCTGCTCATCAGAGGCTGGCGAGAACCATAAATGTGTAGGAGAATACTGCATCTTGCCTGCCAAGAGCTCTTTGAAACGCTTTATACAAACGAGGAGACTAAGGCATAGACAGAACATATGACTCTGACTTTGCCTTGAATTTCAA